GTACAAGTGCACATATATGAAAAAGAATATTAATATTGAAGTACTTTAATTCGTACAATTTTTTAGACGGTGCTCTTGTAATGGTTATAAGAATATATAATGATATTAAGATATTATTGATTTAGTAAGATTATTTGAATAGCATCACATATTTATATGAATTTATTTAAAGCTTAACTAGCATGTATATTATTTTCTTTTCTTTTGTATTATTGTAGCTTAGGAGAATGAACATTCAGTGGCTTGTTTCGCTCATTTCTACTTTAAACTAACTTTTCAGGTTAATTAGGTGTAAAAGAAGAGCAATATGAGCGATAATGTTTATAAAAGGCACAGACAATCACTAATGAGATAAATTTAAATATATTGTTTTAATTTAATTTAATTTAATTGGCGGCTCTTTCATTTATAAATAGTTAATTATAGATAATAACTATGAGAAATTTCAATTCTCACTGTCCGACCGTTTGTTCCCATTTTGGTTAATTCAAAGTCCTAGGCTGAGTCGTGACACACGCATGTCATAACGACATCGTCACTTATTGTGGGTTCGCCTAAGATTGTCGAGAATCATGAGACCGCAGTTCCTGAATTAATTAATTTTAAGCTATCAAGCTGGATCGTGACGTCAATTCACAAAAGCAGGATCAATGAAAATAACATTTATCAAATGCATTAGAAAATTTGGGGTCGTTATGTATTCAGTTCAATATGGAGGAATAGAGCCACAGCTTAGCCTGAAATCAAGCACTTTGTGCCATCTTGTTGGGGTTATATTGTTTACTATCTTATACTTTGTATTGTTAAGATAACAATCCCATACAGCTTGTAAGATAATAAATCCTTGCCTAATTAGGTATGTCAATTGTGATCTATATATCTTTTCTTTGTCCTAAGGTTTCAGAAGAACATTTAATAAATAACTCATAAGAACTAACTTCTGAAAAGTAAGAACTGAACACCTTGCATGGCATAGAATTAGCCTCTTTTACCTATCAATAATCAAGACTTCAATGCATCAACCTCATCACGACCCACAAAACGTTCTTTTGTAGGTACTGAAAAGTAAAAGAGTCTTCCTGATAAATTATCTAGGAAATCATCACTTTTTATGCAACAATTAACAGCAGGTCATGAGAAATTTACAATTCATAACAATTTTACAATTCCAGTCAAATGCACGTAATTAAGAGGCATGAGAAATTGGATACCAAACAAACAGCAGGTCATTGAATTCTTGTTGCAAATGATGCAATGACATGCAGCTAATCTAGTTTTACAAAAATAATTTTTTGAGAAAACAATTAGGAGTCAAACCAGACAACAAAGGAGTCAAACTAAAATTTTCAAGTCTCTTAGGCTCATATTTATTTTTGAGCAAAGTCATAATATTTTTTTTTATTAAATTTATTTCATTAGGTTTAATTATTCTTTTCAAATTATCCTATAGGTGCAAATTTGAATGCTTTGATCGGACTATATTTTAACAAATAGGATTAGTCTTGAAATCAAAACAGTTTATCTTATCTTTGTAACCCTTTCAATAAATAAGGATTGATTGCTTGTACGCATATTATTAAACATTAATTTCTAATGAATGAAATTATTTATAAGGTTAATTAAGTATTTTCTCAAGATCCAAGTCATGTATGTAGATCCCACCATATTGAGTGCATAGAGATTTCCTTATCATTTCCCTGTTTAACCTTTCCACCTTCATCAATTTGGAATCATCACCATTAAAGATGACCTCCAGCCATATCTTGTAAACTGTAGTATCCTGCTTGAACTAGCCTAAATTGCATCATCAAATCATGAAACCCATTGACCAATGCTCATTATTTATAAGCCACATACCACGTTATCCCTAAATCCCAATCTCTCTAATCATATTCAGATAAAATAAAGCCATGGACACACATACTGCACTGGAATATTGCCCATAAACAGCCCATTTTCACCAAATCCTGCAACTATCTCGCTTCTCATCATGTGAACCCAACTTTCTACTCACTTAATCTCACCCAATTCACAGTATCACTTCTTCGTCTCACACATAAGACACAGTCCCTTCACTCGCTGCCCTGTTTCATAAATTCATGTGAATTTCTCACCAAAAGGAACACAAAAGGTAGCTGCACCAAACACAAAAATTGTCAGAAGATAGGGACTAGAAATTAAAAGAAATGGCAGTATAAAAGAAGTTAAATTTGTCACAATTCATAAATACACTTCTGAACTTACAGCAACAGTAAAAATCAACACTACTAGAAATGCCACTAACCGATGAAAAAAAAAAATTCCTGAAATCATAGCAAATTAGCTGCAGGGGTAAAAGCCTGAATTATAGGAATTCAAAGGAAATAAAAATATCAGAGCGATAGTATGCCTATTTGCATCACACCCCCTTTGGGCCCTCCTTATACTAAGGTCGCTCCCCCTCAGAGATATAAGCCTATTTATTTCAATTAACCTTGTAGGCCATTTTTTTGTGTAAGTTCTACCTTCCAAACATTGGAACCCATAAATTCAAGTAAGTTGCAGCCTCACTAAAGTAGACTACTGCATGTTACCCTAGCACTTGCATCACACTTTTGAGCCAATCGAGCTCCAACCTAGAAATTGGGCAAATTCAAGATTGCCTACTCAAAGCAACTCATGGATATGTCAACATGCTTTCTCCGATGTAGTGTTTAACCTCAATAGCATGCAATCAGTCCACAAACAATGAATACTCATGAAATGCTTCATGCAGAGTACAACTTCAAAGCGAACCTTCATTAGAAAACCCATTACCATCAATATGTTTAGGGTATTCCCTTCTCAAACGAACCAAGTTTGCCATGCCGCAGCTTAAGCTAGAAAAACTCATTTGCACTAGCCAAGCTTTGTGGATGTGAACCAACTTCAATATGAATCGATCAAGTTGTGGCATCCAAAATGCAAATGCTAGCCGCATCCTAAATACGAAGAAGGCAATTTGAAGAGGACAGTAGGAGATAGTCGAGATTGAGCTTTGAACAAAAAAATCTTAAAAAACTTCTCTGATAGCAAGTTTCTAGGAGAAAATACAGTCAATAATGAATTAAATTGCGCATTAGAAGGCAATGAAATATTACATGCCAAATATGCAAGAAAGATTTTTGTGTAACAGGAAGAATTCCTATAAAAACTCCATGGTTAAATGTGCTAAAAAAAGAGAACTCCTTGGATGGGACACCTCCTAGAAAATTACACAAGAAAGGACAAAAATTATAAGGTTCAACCTAGTATGGCAATGTAATACCTTGCATAAACCTAAGACATTAAACAAGTTTAGTCATTGAACCTTTGGTGATCACATACTAACACCTCTAAAAAAAAATCAACCATATTAGTACTATTAAATTCTTTTTTAGTCAACTCTTAATCTTTAAGCCACTATGAGAGGACGATTTTCATTCAACAAACCATCACACTAATCTATAAAAAAATATTTGAAAAGAAGCAACAAAGGTTGCTAATCGTATTTTATGGATGATGTGCCTCCCAACACTCCATCATTGGTTAATGGGCTCACCAAGCTAACCCAAGATGACAGAACTATAAGATCTTAATCTAGTTGACCACTTATCCCCATCCATATCCCTCCACTATAAACCTAATTCCTAAAAATCAATTTAGAGCAAAATAAAACCTTCACTAATCAAAATTATTCTCATTCATCAAGCGTGGGCTGAAACTAGCCACATGGACTTATCTTATTGGAACTCTCAATAACTATAATTCATTAAAACCTTCACTAATCTCATCCATTGGTCGAGTGATATCTCTAGGACATTAGCCTAACTTGTCTTTGAAATTTCATGATACTATGTTCATACTCCTAAAGCTCCAAAATAGCAATAAGAAATGGATCACCCCTAGCTCCATGATGATATACAAGAAATTTTATATATAAGATTTTTCAGCTAAGAAATATGTTATTTCACCCAATCAAAAAAATATTATACAAACATGACTTCTTTAATTTAAAAGTAATCTGCCACATAAAGTTGGGAATGCATCCTAAGGTCTCATTCTAACATGCTAAAACTAAATTTTAATTAACATAACTTTAACATGTTTAACAAGAATGTACTCCATTATGTAATAAATGATAACTAATGTCATCAATTTCACACTTAAGAATTTGAAATAAAGATAATTTAAATACATTTTATCACTTTTAGAACTTATTGAAGGCAATGTTTTAAGCACCCTCTTATTCAAACTTGCATTTATAGTGCATGTATGTGCCGTGTTTAACATTCATAGTTTTGATATAGAACTTCAAAATATTAATCAAATAGTATATATCTACTTACACGTTCGTAACTGAAACTACATGTGTATTCTGTTCGCCTTTATCAAATAATTATGGAACATAAATGAAATTACTAGACATTATAACTTTGATGTATCACTAGTTTCTAGTACGAACAAGCACTTTTATCAAGAAAGCAGATCAAATTGCGTAACCAAATAGCATTTCCCGTTTCTAAAAGTGAAAATGAATTTCCGACTCACTTGGAAGATTCATATTACTTTCTAGCAAAATTATTTATAATCGAGAAACTACGATTTATTGACACCACGAAATGATACTTAAGCAAATTCATACAAATATTTTCTCCCTGAAAAATGAGATTTCGCATGCTTAGACTATCCAAATTGGAATAGAATGACATTAATTAATTGTTTTGATCTCCGAGCATCATTCAAAAAGATATCCCTGCCGATCCACGCAAATGGAGAAACAAGGTAGCATAAGTAGGCTGTAAATAAGCCGTGTCGAGCTTGAGTTGCCACCCATAACTCAAGCTCAACTTGGCCAATTATACGAAAGCTTGAAATAAAGATCAAGCTCGAGCAAAGCCTTCTGGCAAAATCGAGCCCGACGAATAGCTACGCGATGGGAATACGTGAGAAACATCGGCGACCCGGGGGGAGGGGGTTGTGGGGGTTTGAAGAAGGCATACCTCAAGCAGCTGCGCTGGGCGAGGTGAAGAAGTTGAAGAATTCGGCGGCGACCTGGATTATAAGAATTATGAGGAGGAAGCAAGGCGGAAATTTGGATCAGAGGTACGCGGAAGAAGGGAGAACAGGAAGGTCTACGAACTCCTACGAAAGGCGAAGCAGCGAGCGCAAGCTACCGAGGACTGTCCGACTGTGGCTGGCAATTGCAATTTTGGGCTTTCTATGTATTTTATGCATAACCATTCAGGTTGTTATTATTATTATTATTATTATTATTATCTAATTTATATTTTTATTTATTTATTTATTTAAAAGCGCCTTGCTCTTTTCGCGCTTGAGCCCACTAGGAGCAGGGCCCGAGTCACTTTGCCAGGCCCAGCCACAATAATAATTAAATAGATAAAGGAATAATTACATACACAGTATTAATGTAATTAGGCATGCCACATTCAAATTACTGATAATTTGATAAAAATAAAAAATATGAGTTTGAATTTTATCATGAATTTTGATATTTGATTGAGAATTTTAAAAATGGATGAAAGAGGATAAGATTTCACATGCTCTTGAATTCTCCAAAAATTAGAGCAGACGTTAGAAGAGAGAGACAGAGTGAATAGTAATGAAGAGCAAAATGTGTGGATCTTCTTTATACATAAAATAATCTACTTACATGTAGAGGGAGAGAGTATAATGTAATGATGTTTCATTATTGCCCCTGCTTTAAAGAAGATTTTATAGGGTATTATTAGTATTTTGTATATATGAGCATATTGCTCGGCTACTCTACGCCTTGGTAAGTTAAGCTTGATTAGCTTCGGGTTGACATCACTGATTAGGTCAATAAAGACGATCAATTGATCTAGTTTAGTTATCGACCATTGATCTCTAATGAGGAGCTTATGTTGTCAAAGAAACATTATATTATCGAGCAAATGGTGAATCGCTATAATCTGATAGTTAGTAGCTCGCTCCCTAACAAGGAGAGTCTGAGGGATGACTATAAGATTCTTTTTTACATTGTTAATTCTTAATCTCCTATGAGGGAGCCCCAGAGACGTTCATGAAATGGTTGGTGATATTATGGAATTGAATATTTTCTCAGATAGGATCCACTGAAAGTTAGGTGTTGATATCCATTTTTTTATGCCGTGTACTCTAGACGTCCTTCCGAGTGACAAGGGATCACATTACTTTCTTACGTAATATCCCGTCACCTATGGAGTCTGTAAAGACTTTAGCGGGCACATCTTGTATCAGAATGAGTTCGCCTCGTCTAATCGTGCTCGGAAGCGGCTATTGTAGGTTGGCTTCGGCCTCAATATAAGTTGAGTCGAATGACCATCATGATATCTAAAAGCCCTAGTCCAGTCATCTAGGACACCCCATGGATCGAACGAGCCGTAAGTCCCCTTTAACGGAACTTTGGACATCGAAAAATTCCAGGGGCCCAGCGTGACCACGTTTAGGACATGTGTGGCCACGCTTAACCCGCAACGTGACCTCGCCAGAACCGCAGAGGAAGCGCGACACCTTACACCAGGTGTAACCACGCCTGAGATCGGTGCGGCCACGCCGACCAAACACAGAGATCCGCATAATTATGTCGGCTCTCCAGTGTGGCCACACCCAAAGTGCACCTGTGACACATTTTAACTAGCATGATTACACTTATCTTTGGGTGTAGCCATGCCAGTTCAATTGCATTGTGACCTTTTTTGGCATCGATCCACAAATTTTTGCCAACAATGACGTTTAACCATCGGATAAGCCATTTATTACCAGTTTTAACTCTAAAATTGTATCTTGAGCTACCTTAATCCATTCCTTATGAGGCAGGTAATAAAATCTTGCCTAGAGAAGAGGGAAATCAGGTATGGGCAGAAGCTTTAGAAAGGGGGAAAAAATTGCGTACGTAAGACACACGCAACGCTGCGTACGATAGCCAATAGGAGGACTTGTATGCATTGGCGGCCCCACCTCTTGTAAATTATAAAATAAATAGGTGTCTTGTCGTGCGTGACCCGTCGACCCGGCCCATGTAATACCGCCCGTGGTCGGCCTCCAGTAATGCACGTGTAATCTTGTTGTAACATGTGTGTAACCTTCCCCCCTTTGGCAGCGGTATCACGCGTATAACCTACGTGTAACTTCCCTATAACCTCGTTGCCGCAGAACCGAGAGTGTACCATTTGTGTAACTCGATTGTAACTGCGGAACCACGCGTGTAACCCTCATGGAACTGAGAGTTACCCTTCGTGTAACTGCAATGTAACAGATTATGAAGCTCGTGGCATTGGTACTGTGTGTGTAACATGATTGTAACTGCGATGTACAAGATAAAAAATTGGAGCGAGCGTGAATCATGTTATTTAAGCAGCTAGAGTTTATTGTTTTATTGGTCATATTCTCAATTTTATGACGTCATTTTCTCCTACAGCGGCAGCTGGACCTATTGAAGTTCAAGATGGACTACAGAAACACAAAATATTGTTTTCTCTACGAAGCGTGAGGAGAAAAAGAGAGTTATCATGTCAAGAGAGAACAAGTTGATGTTAAAGTGGAAGTGTGTTTGGATTTGTTTTTTTTTTTGAGACATTACTTCAGCTGTTATAATAATGGTGTTTGCTGTTATGTTCTTCTTATTTTTAGGATCTAACCGTATTTTTGGAGTTGTATGTTTGTTAAGGTATGTTTGTAGAGATTAGGGTTTTGTAAAAACAATGAAGTAAATATACCACATTAAACCCAAATAATCACAATTCAATAGCTAATAAAAAATAATTAATTTTTTGAGGTGCATGTTTGTGGAGGTGTATGGTTTTAGGGTTTTTTTGTTGAGTTGTGATTATTAGGGTTTAATGTAGGATAGAATTTAGGGTTTATTATTTTTTAAAAAACTAATGAATCCTTATTATAGAAGGAATATATGAGGGTTTAGGGTTATTTTTTGAGCTATTTATTGAGTTTAACATTTTATTCTATTTTGTGTAGTTTGGTGAGAGTAAAACTACCTGTATCAAGCAAACAAAAAACATATTACTTCAAATGATGGTCTACAATGAGAAAGAAACTTATGAAGTATATTATGCTTACGCTCATCATATTGGATTTAGTGTTCGTAAGGAGCATTCTATGTTTTGGCCTAACACTAGGAATATGAAGACGAAGGACTTCGTATGTGGAAAACAGGTTTCAAGAAAGAGATGAAGATCACAGAAACTATTAAATACAAAATAGCAGACACAAGAAGTGGTTGACCTGCAATGATTCAATACATAGTTGACGACGAAGGTAATTGGACTGTCAAAAAATTCCCTGAATCTCATAATCACTCATTAGCAAACCCTGGTGATAAACACCTTTTGCGTTTCAGTAGAAAGATAAGTGAAACATGATAAAATAATTCATTGCTATGTTAAAAAATATGAAAAGAACTTTTAAGAGTTATGTGCAGTACACAAACCGTTAGAAGGAAGACAAAACCAGTAATATATCACAGTGTCTGATCCTTCCTTATTTTCGCTGCACTGACATTCAGTTGCTCTGTCAGAAATCCACATACTGTAACTGGCCAATTATACGTTGTAAAAGTTCTATATCCTCACAAATAGAAGACAACTCTTTCGACACTCTAAAGTTACTTGAAGTAAAAAATAAATTTGACATTAAAAATTTGATTAATAATTGCAAAAGGTTACGAGATGACTCCCCTGGTGAAAAGTTGAGTAGTGCGGTCTTTATTTGTCTCGCATCCATACTAACAGGCAGAGCAGAACTCCAGCATGTAGGTAACCCTCTATTGGGCATACTTATTAGGAGTGTAACTTCATATGAATCAAATTTGAGCTCTTTCCCACACAAGTTGAATGTCATTCGATCAATATCTCAACAGTTTATTATATGCATTGACAGAATATGATCATGAGGGTACGGAGGGAGTTCAAAAAACTGAGTCAAACTCATGGCTTCTAATTTATTCCAAGTGTCTTCGTCGACTTATGGCCGGACCTTATAAAGAAATTCTCGTACTGCAAATGGATGACATCTGTAATTCATTGATTTTACGCTAAAAAGCATACAAGAATACAAAAAAATAGTTTAATATCAAATATAAATCCAAATGACGACAAAAAAAGGTGAATTTAAAAAAATTTTAACAATAAATTTTCAGTAAATTAAATTTAACTATAACATTTAGGAAAGTATGACGATCTTTGTTGGCAAATAAGGTGAATTTCAACTCTTCTACTTTGAGAAATAATAAGTCTTCATTTAAAATTAATTTAACTCGAAAAATAGGGTGAATTAAATAGTTCTATTTTAACAATTTGCATTTCAACATATAAACTATCTAAAATGTTTTCCAAAACCACAAACTGTTCATTTTGGTAAAGAGTTTATATTGTATTAAAAGTGTCATGTATTGTGTTCACAAAGTTCTTTATGACCACATGATAACACCATTAACCAAGCTTCATGAATTGGAAAGCATAATCTAACTAATATCTATAAAGAGTTTGGGGCTGCTTAATAGATTCATTGTCCTCATTCTTTTACTCCTCCTTACGACC